ATTTTAGCCATAGGGCTTTCTTGCGAAAGAAATTCATCTTGCCTGTCTACATTGCGTTCTTGTGGAAGAGCTCTTGCTCAAGAGGGCTTATTCCTCCTGGGAAGAGGAATAACTCTTCTGGAAGAAGCCCTGTTTTCTGATGCTGTACTATAAGTTTACTTGCGCAAGAACGTACGTGCAGTGTAGACGCTCTGCAAGTTTTTGCGCAAGTACTCTCATTCTAGCGCAAAAAGCCTGCAGTGTAGTCGTAGCCGTAGTGTTTTGCTGGAAAGATGTTAGCGTTCCTAAAGAGTTACAAAGTAAAGAAAATAAAGGGTACATATGCATATTAGTAACAGCAACTACTGGGTTAAATATGGGACAGTGTGTCAAACTAAAGCTGTCAAAAGCCTTAAATAATTCCTTCTAAATATATAGTATAAACAACTGTAGTCATTAAAGCAGACAGAAGAGGCTATGTTCAATCTGGTTTAAATCAGTGTCAGTACTATCCACTAGAGACAGAGCTACCACCAAAATAACATTTCTCTATTATAGTATGGTAATATTTTAACTTGGATTCATGTATAGACTAAAGAAAGAAAAGGAAAAACAATCTGTCTGGGGCCAGAGTTACCATTTCATTACTCTACTTCTACACTGGCATAACTCCAGTCTTTTCTGTGAAGTTATCCTGGATAAAGCTGGAATAACAGGTCCTGAATCCACACATCTGAGAGACATATTGATCCACATTAAAGTTATAGAACTGGTTTGTGATTATCCTCATGGGGAATCAGTCTGGTATTCCAGATATGAGCAGCAATAATATTTGTCTCATTAACAAATCCTTACAACGCCTGTTTGGAGTTCAGCAAGAAAGAGAAACCAAAAATTTAAGAGTTAGTACTGTTCATGCCTAGCTAGACAGATGTGTTTTTATTCTCTTTTCTTGTCATTCAGTTCCTTATTATGTTACTAGCTGTTCAACACTGCTTATGAACAGCTAACTGTGTTAGTTTATAGGGTGCCACAGGACTTCTCGTTGTTCTTACGGATTCAGACTAACCAATTTATCGGCACATAAGCTTTCATAGGTCTTTGCCCACGAAAGCTTCTGCTCCAATAAATCTGTTAGTCTATACGGTGTCACAGGACTTCTCGTTGTTCTAACACTGCTTATGATCCTTTGATCGGAACCTAGTATCCACCAAGAAGGGGATCATTAATCTCTTGCACCAAGGGTATTATGATGTAGAAGGTGCCAGTTTTTACTATAATTGAGACACAAAGCAAAAGAATTTCTTGAACTATATCCTGGCTCTGTGTGTATTCCATGCTGACATCAATTTCACATCACTGTAGGAAGCTCATGCTAGGTTTCTGCTAAGGGAGTCTGTGAAACTGCATGCTGTGAGACCCCCAGAAAGGCCTGAGTAACATCCCTCCCACAGCCCACTGATTGGCTCGTGCTGGTATATAAACAAGGAAGTCATTATGGCAATCTGTCTGAGCAATGATCCATACAATTTGTATGCTTCTGCTACAGGCCTTGCCTCCCTTTGAACCACAGACTCTGCTACTTGCCTCCTGTCTGCCACTCAGCACCTGACCCTGATTTCCTTGCATCCTGACTGCCTGATCTGACCTTGAAGCTGCTTGTCTCCTGTCTGCAACTCAGCATGATCTGGCTTGACACTGATTGTACTATTCATTTTCTGACTGCAGCTTGGTGACTGAGCCATATATGGAGACTCTCCTGCACCCAGTCCTGACACTGAGGGTGCATCTACACAGCAGCATTATATCAAAATAACTAGCAATATTTTGAAATAACTTAGTCCGCACCTACACAGCAGGCAGTTATTTCAAAATAATGTCAAAATATTGTCAAGCTGGAGGACTTCTTACTCCAACTCTTGTAACCCTCATTGTATGAGGAGTAAGGGAAGTCGGAGGAAGAGTGCTCTATTTTGAAATAAGTGCTGTGTAGACACTCCCCGTTTCAATTTTAAAATAAGCTACGCAATTGATGTAGCTCAGTTTGCTAAGATTATTTCACGTGAAACCCTGAGAAAAGCTGAGGCTTTAGTTTGGACACAAAGAGACAGGTCTGGAGCAGAGAGGCAGTTCTCTAAGTTGTAGAGATAGTAGTTAAATTGGTGTTCATGAGTGACAGTCAAGGGGCGACTACCCCTTGGAGTCCCCCTGAACCTAATTTCTTTTGATTGAGCAACTTAAGCATCACCAAATCAATTTACAGGACATGTCAACAGCCTCAGTCTGTACCCATGACTCCCTGGTCAGGGTCTTCTGGCCTGATGGCCCTAGTCTATGTATAGAATCATAGAGCTGGAAGAGATCTTAGGCCATCAAGTCCAGCCCCTTGCCCAAGGCAGGACCAATCCCAATTAAATCAACCCAGATAGGGCTTTGTCAAGCCGGGATTTCAACACATCTAGGGATGGAGACTCCACTACTTCCCTAGGTAACCCATTCCAGTGCCTCACTCCCCTCCTAGTGAAATAGTTTTTCTTAATATCCAAACTGGACCTCTCCCACCGCAACTTGAGACCATTGCTCCTTGTTCTGCCATCCATCACTACTGAGAACAGCCTTTCTCCAGCCTCTTTGGAACCTCCCTTCAGGTAGCTGAAGGCTGCTATCAAATCACCCCTCACCCTTCTCTTCTGCAGACTAAATAGACCCAAATCCCTCAGCCTCTCTTCGTAGGTCATATGCTCCAGCTCCCTAATCATTTTGGTTGCCCTCCACTGGTCCCTCTCCAATGCATCCACATCCTTCCTGTAATTGGGGGCCCAGACCTGGACACAATACCCCAGATGTGGCCTTACCAGAACCGAGAAAAAAGGAATGAGATCCTCTATTCCAAATATTATAGTCCATTAGCTTAAGTCTTTCTACTCAGGGTAGTACGGCCTAGTGGCCTAAGTCCATATGCACAGGGAAAACTCCCCCAAACAAGGTATGTATGGAGGAGACAGGGGGACACAGGCTCTCCAACTCCACCAGGTCCCAGGCCAGGACGCTGTTAGCAGTAGCAAGGTCCACCAATTGCTCAGTGGGGAATCCAGCTACAAGACACTGAGCACTCAGGAAACAATTCACCACCCTGGCTACTTCCTACTAGTACCTGACAGGTGTATTCCCCATAGTCTCACTCCAGTTCTGCGACTCCTTGGGTAGCACTCTTGGCCCAGCTGCCACTGCTTGGTCTGGTTGCGCTTCCTCCCCTGGAGCTCCCTCAGTACCGCCTTCTCCTTCAGCAGTCAACCCTTACTGAGCTGCTCCAGAAGCCTTTATAGCCAGTCTCCAGGGCTGTGGGGGTGGAGCCCTTTTAGTCAGCTGGGCCAAGGCAACTCTATTAGCTTCAGTGCAGGTTGATACACCCCATCACACAGAGATTACTCAAAAATATGATGTAGAGGGAGAATAGAAGGGGACAAAGGACAGAGTCCTGTGGAACTCTGAGAAAGCTGAGAATATCCTCTGAAGGACCTGCTGAATTAGAAATTAGAGAAAAAGGAAGACAAGCAGGAGAGGGTAGAGTCATAGAAGCCAAGGGAGTACAAGATTTTAAGAAGAAGAATTTGGTTGACTGTGTTGAAGGTTGTTGACAGATCAAGGAGAAGGAGGATGGAGTTCTGATCCTCAAATGTGACTAAAAGGTCATCTGTAAAATTATGATAATACTTTTCTACATCCCAGAGTGTTGAAAAGCTTCATTCATGCATTTTTAAAGCACTCAAATGTTCATTTGAAATGTATTATAGAAACAAAAAATAGTATGATTTTAAAATTAAGTTCCTGCATGACTAATTTTTCAAAACCCTCTACATTTGTACCCATAATTTTGCTTCTATAAAAACTCACATTTGAGTGCAAATGCTTCTGTGAATGAAGACTAAGCAGCTAGATCTCTGTTTGACATGGCCATTCAAGCTATTATGTGTATGTGGAATGTGGCACACTTTGAAAATCTGATTCATATTATTTTGGGTTTTGCTGTTGAACATAAGAATGGCCATACTGGGTCAGACCAAAGGTCCATCTAACTCGGTATCTGGTCTTCTGACAGTGGCCAATGCCAGATGCCCCAGAGGGAGTGAACAGAAACACCTAATCATTAAGTGATCCCTCTCCTGTCAACCAATTCCAGCCCCTGACAAACAGAGGCTAGGGACACCATTCCTACCCATTCTGGGTAATAGCCATTGATGGACCTAACCTCCATGAATGTATCTAATTCTTTTTTGAAAGAAGAGTCAGCAGAGGGAGCATAAATGCTTTACACTTACATCAAAAGAGATAAGAAACCATCACAACTGTGTGCTGTGAGGCAAGACATGACTATTCCCTTTAGCTGAAAAAAGTACCTTTTCTCATAATTCATAGCTAAGAATTTTGTAGGAAGAATTATTGACCAACAAGGTCCATAGGTGAGGGGTTCTCAGCTTTTTTCTTTGAGTTTCTCCCTCCCCTCCAACATGCTCTAAGAAGTCCATAGCCCACCTGTGCAACAGCTGTTTTTCTGCATATAAAAGCCATAGCTAGCATTAATGGGCAGGAAGGAGGGAAAGATTTTTAAGGCACTATTCAAATAAATTAGGGTTCTGGGGATTAATAGGCCACTGGATGGTTTTTGTGTGGCTGCTGCTGAGTTTTAGGATTTAGTCAACTAGCTCACAACTGTGCTGCCCCCTTCTTGTGGGCAAAGGTCCCGCTGCCTGCTCAGCATAGCTTAGGTGGAGGCAACCAGCTAGTACAGAACTTACTTAATAGGTATTTTTTGAGTTTTCAAAAATGCATTACACTGGTGCATGCAGTAAAGGCCATTCTTCAGTAGCTTCTTGAAAAACTACCTCATCCTGCCACATGTGTGCCAGGCTGCTAACCATCATTGTAAACCAGATTACAACAGAGAATAAATTAAATAAAAAGCAAACATCTGAGACAACACAAACATTCAGAATGAAGGCATGTAATTGAGATTGTGATATAAAGCCAATTTGCCTGAAGCAACAAATACTCATCTGAAAAAACTCTGAATATTAAAAGAAAAATCATTATAACAAACTCATTTGAGGTGATTTTTTATGTTATTTAGAAAGATTAGTTTGTCTCTCCTTTCCATCTCCTACTATAGGTTGGTCAATCTTGAGGCTTACTAGGAACAAGAGTCTCAGAGCGGTAGCTGTGTTAATCTGTAACTTTAAAAGAGAGAGAGAGAGAAGTCCTGGGGAAAATCCACTACCTCATATGTGAGAGTGAGTTTTGCCCATGAAAGCTCTTTTATATATATATATATATATATATAAAAGTTTGTATGGTTCTACAGGACTTTTTTTTTTAACAGAAACAATAGGGCATATCTGTATAAAATGGATATGAGTGTTTTATTGTCTGTAGGTTTCTATGGTTCTACAGGACTTTTTTTTTTAACAGAAACAATAGGGCATATCTGTATAAAATGGATATGAGTGTTTTATTGTCTGTAGTAAAAGCCCCTCTGCTTTTTAACTAAAGCTACAGTATAATCATATGTTTACTTCACAGTTTGTGGAATCTTGAGTGTTGTGTGTCTTAATTAACAATCCTATTCTCAGGGCTGCCCAGATATTAACGTGTGATGGTGTTAATTCACCAACAAGGGAACAAATCTATAGAGAAACATGCTCGTTTGTGCTACATTTGGATGTACTGGAGGGAAACTATGTTTGTCAAATTCACTAGAACAAAATTAGTATGGAAATAAATTTGATTTCCCCAAGTTTTTACAAGAGTGTTAAGTGAGTTCACAACACTGCTATTACATTCACAGCGTGTACACAGATAAATTAAATAAAAACAAATTCTCTTGCAGGAAGGTTGCAGCATCACAATTCATTTCTTAGAATTCAGCATGATAACACTCAGCCTGCAGCCCATAACCTGAAAACAGGCTGCTCCCTAAGTGCATCTATGCTGCAGGGCTTAATTTGAAATAAGCTACGCAAATTGAGCTACATCAATTGCGTATCTTATTTCGAAATAGCTTATTTTGAAATAGGGAGTGTCTACACAACACTTATTTCAAAATAGAGCACTCTTCCTCCGACTTCTCTTATTTTTCGTACAATGAGGGTTGCAGGATTCGGAGTAAGAAGTCCTCCAGCTTGACAGTATTTTGACACTGTTTCGAAATAACTACCTGCTGTGTAGATGCAGACTAAGTTATTTTGGAATAGCGCTAGTTATTTCAAAATAGTGTTGCAGTATAGACGTATCCTGAGGGAGCAGCCTGTTTTCAGGTTATGGGCTGCAGACTGAGTGTTATCATGCTGAATTCTAAAAAGATGAATTGTGATGCTGCAATCTTCCTGCAAGAGAATTTGTTTTTATTTAATTTCTCTGTGTGCATGCTGTGAATGTAATAGCAGTGTTGTGAACTCACTTACCCTTAGGTACCCCACAGTGTTACGTCTACATAGCAGCGTTATTTCTGAATAACTGATTTTATTCCAAAATAATATGGTCGGTGTCTATGTAACAAGCAGTTATTTTGACATTATGCCAAAATAATGTGGAGCTGGAGGACTTCTTACTCCAAGTCCTGTAACCATCATTTTACAAGGAGTAAAGGAAGTTGGAGGAAGAGTGCTCTTTCTCAGACTTCCCGCTGTGTAAACAGCGCCAAAAGCCGAAATAAGCTATTTCAACAAGCTATGCAATTGACAGCTCCAATTGCATAGCTTATTTCGGCTTTAGCACTGATGTGTAGACATGCGCTATGGATATGTCTATGCTATGGCCTAAAGTTGAGTTAAGATACGCAACTTCAGCTACGTTAATTGCATAGCTGAAGTCGAAGTACCTTAACTCAACTTTTGGCGCTGTCTACACAGCAAGAAGTTGAAGGAAGAACACTTTTCCTTCGACTTCCCTTACTCCTTGTGAAATGAGGGTTACAGAAGCCAGAGTAAGAAGAGCATTATTTCAAAATTATTTTGAAATAACAGCTTGCTGTGTAGACACGTACTCTGTTATTTTGAAATAATCATGCAGTGTAGATATAGCTTTAGGTAGGAAGGCATGGTTCTCTATGCCTTGCTTTAAGCTGGTTTTGTCCAGAATGATTTTGATGTCACACATTGCTCTGATTCCCTGCTTTAAGAAGCTTGTACTCTAAAATTAAAGGAAAGGCTGATATAACAGAGTTTTGATGGCAAAGCTGAAGAAGTACTAGTGTCCAGAGTATACTTCCTGAGACCTTTGGGGATCTACAAGGTTTGGGGCAGATCCACATTACCTGTTGTCTGGTAACTAAACTCTGTCTCTGACAAAGATGTGGGAGAGGCAGTCTCTATGAAGGGATCCTTACAGTAACATTCTCCACCAGAGTCCCCCTCCTGCAGATTTTAATGTGGGAGCGGACCATCAATCCCCAGGATACAAAGTCTGTTCTCTAAGTGGTGTAACTTTTTTTTTAATATATAAAATATATAAATGGACTATTATTTAAAGACTCCATGGAATAAGTTTTTTTTTTTTTTAAATAGAGGCCTGAGAAAATAATGGTGGATGGTTGGCCACCCTGGCTGTAATACAGTCAGTAACTTTACATAAACGTGGGGCAATAGGGCAAGCTAATCTTAATCAATTTCCACATTGATTGATAAGAGCTGGTTGTTAAATCAAGTGGTTTAATTATGCAAAATCACTGTGACAAATGTTAACTCTACATTTTTCCTCTCTAGACACTACAGAGTTGTTTTCAAGAGCAGCTCAGACTCAAGGCTCAGGTGAGACTTCTGGAGTATCGTGTGAAACAGCAGCAGGTAAAAATTGTGCAGCTCTTACAGGAAAAGGAGATTCAATACAGTGACCAGGAAGATGAAAACAGTTTTATTGATCTAGGAGAAAAAAGACAATATGCAGGTGAGAATTTATTTCTTCTATTCACATGGTGTCTTTGTTGGAACTAGTGCACGCGTTTTCATGGGCCAATATAACTGAAACTTCACATTTACAGATATGCTTTAAAATTCTCCCAGGAAACTGTGGCACCAAGACCTAGCATTCAGCTGTTACCCCAGCCTTTGTTGTCTTGAAATCAGATTGTGCAATGCGTTCTACATAGAGCTATGCCTTAAAACTGAAGTTGCTGTAGAACATGCAGCATGCTTTTTGAAAATGAGATTTTTTTTCCAGGAACATATTACACCCATGCTCTATATCTGTACTAGCTACCTGCTGTCTTCTGCGTAGATTTTAAGGTGACCTATAAAAATATAAGAATCCTAACAGTTACCTATTCAAAATGCCACCTTTCCCTCATTGTGTTACTGCTGCAGCTGTGGTCAATGATGACGTTCAAGAGGGAGCTTCCCACAATATAAAATAAAAGTTGCTGTTTTTCATGAGCACCTATTACAGGGCAAGCCCACTTATCCCTCGCAGGATAGGGATGTATGCGACTAATCGATTAGTTGACTAGCCAATAAGCAAAAGCTTATAGACTAGTCGACACAACAGATGACTAATCAATTACCTCCCCCCC